ATCATAAGAAAGGCGGAGCTAGATGAATCACCAGTTGGAATTAAGATTGCTGGGAGACATATCAACAACCTCAGATATGCAGATGATACCATTTGAATGGCAGAAAGTGAAGAGGAGCTAAAGAGCCTCTTGATGCGGGTGAAGGAGGAGAGCGCAAAAGTTGGCTTGAAACTCAACATTAAGAAAACTAAGATCATGGCATCCGGTCCTCTCACTTCCTGGCAAATAGATGGGGAAGAAATGGAGGAAGTGACAGATTTTATTTTCCTGGGCTCCAAGATCACTGCAGATGGGGACTGCAGCCAAGAAATTAAAAGACACTTGCTCCTAGGGAGGAAAGCTATGGCAAATCTGGACAGCATACTAAAAAGCAGAGACATCACCCTGCCAACAAAAGTGTGTATAGTCAAGGCTATGGTTTTCCCAGTTGCAATGTATGGCTGTGAAAGCTGGACCATATGGAAGACTGAGCACAAAAGGATTGAGGCCTTTGGATTGTGGTGCTGGAGGAGACTCCTACGAGTCCCTTGGGCCGCAAGGCGATCAAACCGGTCAGTCCTAGAGGAGATTAATCTGGACTGCTCTTTAGAAGGCCAGATAGTGAAGATGAAACTCAAATACTTTGGCCACCTAATGAGAAGGAAGGACTCCCTGGAGAAGAGCCTTATGCTGGGAACAATAGATGGCAAAAGAAGAAGGGGACGGCAGAGGATGAGGTGGCTGGATGGAGTCACTGAAGCAGTCGGTGTGAGCTTGAGTGCACTCCAGAAGATGGTGGAGGACAGGAAGGCCTGGAGGAATGTTGTCCATGGGGATGCGATGGACACGACTTCGCGACTAACAACAACAACATCCAGCCACATATAGAACATAACAAACACCCAGTATATGCAACTCTAAATCGTAAATCTATCAGTATCATGGGTGGGTAGATTTTAAATGCAATAAATACACAAACACATGCAGGAGTGCTCATGCACATATATATCTGATTACACAGCTCTTTCTGAATGAGCAGTATGGTTCTGTGTCCTGTAGATGCATGCCAGTCCCTAATAACTGACCAACTGAGGTTCTACTTTTCTTCCTAAACATACTTACATGTGTTAGATTTGCATTTGAAGTAGTTTGATTTCACATTGCCTTCAACAATGCTCTTTTTTAAGAGAGAGAAAACTTTAGTATTGTGTTGTTTCTTACTAAAATCTCCAACTTTACAGTCATCCAAACTGATTCAGATGATGATAAGTGTTGCATAGATGATCAGATGATAAATTTGCAACTCTGGAATTAAGAGAAAAGATAAAGGCGAAGTTTAAGCTATTAAAAAGTCAAGACATTTCCCTCTGCAATGGAAGACAAAGGCCTTTGGCTAAAACAGAAATTATATTTTTGTTCATCTAATCCTGCTTCAGTAAGGTGTTATTTTTCTTCTGCTGCTGCCTAGGAACTCCTGTCTAAATTACAGCAAAAACTGAAATCTTATTTCAAGGGAAATTATAAGCCTCAGTATTTTTTTCTACTCTTTAAAAACACTAAAGTATACTTTAAGGTATACTCTACCACAAGATGTTAAGGTATCTGTGTAGTTTAAACAACCACAACAGTATACTTTAAGGGAAAATGTTTTTCCCTTGCAACCAAAGCTTTAAAATGAACAGGAAGAAAGAAGCACTGTGGGTTGGGCAATATAAAGTTCTTTGTTAACAACCAAGAGAGTGGGGATGAAGTGGGGAAACCATCACAGAATTGAGCTCGAGGTGTCAAAGAGGGTATGGGGTAGAAGCTTCTGTCATAGTTCATCCCCACTCTAGTGAGTAAGCCCATTTCTTGCTCACTGAAGAACTACAGTTCAGATAGACTTGTCTGAGTTGACGAAGAGTGGAATGAGTGTAGCAGGGGAAGACTTTGAAATTTTGAGGTTGCCTACTTAAGTTCCTCAGGCAGAGTGTGAGACTCACCTAGCTTCAGAAGGGGCAGAAGGGTTTTCAAGAGGGGAGGGGGAGCATATGCAGGACACACTACTTCACCCTGTTACCTGCTCTCCCATAAGGTGAAACTTTGGTCATCCCTGGGAAGATGGCAGCTGCAACCGGCAGAAAATCAAGGAGGGCCTGCTTAGTGGGGTATTCTCACCTCAATGAGTTTACTCTGTAAAATTTGAGAAAAGTACACACTTGCTCAACATTTCTTTCATCTTTCCTAGTTAGAGATAATTTTTGTTTAAAAAAACTGTATAAAGCATAGGAAAAAAGGAAATTGGATGAATCTGATAAAATACCTAGCATTTCAGCACTGATAACCTAATTCTGTGCATGTTTACTCAGAATTGCATCTCACTTTCCTGTAATGCTTCCTCTCTACTAAGTCCATTTAGAATTGCAAGCTTGGATTGTCTGAAACACCATCTTTTTCTAAAATAGGCAGAAGAAGAGCGAGATGATATGGAAAGAGTGAAACTGGATAACAAAAGAATTCTCTTCAATCTGTTACCAGCACATGTTGCTCAGCATTTTCTCATGTCTAATCCAAGGAATATGGTAAGGACTTCGTTTGTTTGTTTAAGAATTTGCATTGTCTGCACTTTTATAGCAAAACACTCAAGGTGACAAAGCTCAGATTAAAACTTAGCAAGTAAAACAATATTATAACTTAAAATCACGTTAAAAGATAGTGGAAAAATCAATGAACTAGTTCCCAGCAGGAGTGAAAAGGAATCATATAAAGGTGAAGCCAAAGTCCTACAGAAAGTAAAACAAAAGATTTTTTTCAGAAGATGATAGAAACGCCACAAAGGCAGGATTATACTAATCTCCCAAAGCAGGGGGAAGGCACCTTTCCTAGCAACCATATTTGTGATGGTGGTGGTCCATGTAGAAGGGCCCCTCCTGATGATTTTAGTGGATGGAGAGAATCAGATAGAAGATACTCCTTCAGGTAACACTGATCCTAACCATTCAGGGCTTTAAGGGGGATGGTGAGCATTCTGAATTATGTCCAGAAATGAGCTAACAGCCAAAGCAGTTCACACAATTAAATACTTTAAAAACTGCATTAAAGCTTGGAGTTTTAGCAGCATTGCCAGTATTGTATATCAAGAGTTGTTTCTGGAATAGGAAAAGCTGTATTCAGCTTGGTCTTGAACAAATCACCATTTCTCAGCCATGCCTGCCTCACAATATAAACAGGAATGCACAACAGTACTCATAACTCCTTGGAGAAAGACCAGGAATTGTTGTTGATGGTGGTGGTGGTGATGGTGTCAAATTGTGATGTTGTGAGGATCATAATCACAGATCAAGTAAGGGTTATTGTAGTCCTCACAGCTTCCTTTTTCCTGGGAGAATCCAGTTTATTAATAGTGTAATACTCTGAACTTACTGATCCAAACAAGTCACAGTGCACATGCTTTATTTATATTCATATTGATTTGATCTATGTCTTCCTGCATCCTGACAGCTCTGGGCAATTTACACAAATATTTAAAATTTACATTTTAAATAACAAAGGGAAGCAACAAGGGGTCTCTCCTTTAAAGATGGCTAAGCCTTCTTGTGCTCTCCCTAGAAATTAATTGGGTCTTTTGAGCGTTCTATTTGTATGCTTGAACTGTTTTGAGGCATATTTACAAATGGTCAAAAGAACATTCAAAGGATCCACTTCCTCCACTACATCAAAAGTAAAAGCCCACCCTGGAACCTAGACAGTAGAATGGCTCCCACAAATATAGACGGTGGTGGTGGAGGGGGCTCCTTTCTCATCAAGTGAAAGTGCTGCTAGTGTAGTAACATTGCCAGTGATTGTTTTCTGCTACGGATAATCAGCTGCAGTATAAGCTTTGCGATCCCCAGTAGAAAATGTCAATCCATATTCTGGCAAGGGGAGAAAAGGAGTCTTCTGACTCCAGCTTCTTGGTCCCCACGATGTGATCTTTGCTCCTTGATGGAACATGGTAACAAAGCGAGGTTATGCAAGGAGAACTAGGGTTGTGCACAGTGCGTTGTGCACAGTTGCTCAAATTTTCACAGTATCCCTACTGATGGTGATATTTTGATTAAGTCACAGCTGGAAACTAAAATGGACCCCATGCAAAGTTGTTGCTATTTACATTTCCTAAGGGGTTTAAAGGTCAATGCCAGGCTGCTGACTTGTGAAAACTGTAAGGAATGCAAACCATCAATGCTGGCAGACATGGACCAGCCACCTTTCTAGGCCATATTGTTAGCTTTATCTGCAGTCCTTATAACCTCCCCAGCTCTGTTAAAATGGAGAATTAAATACTAATGCTTCCCTGACATGTTGTTGTCCTTGCTTGAATTGGGCTATAGCCAGATTCTTTCCCATTGAAATCAATGTCAAATGTTACCCAGCACTAAAATCCCATTGATTTAAATGGAAAGTAACTGTGGCTACCTAGTCTGGATCCAACATACTGAGTTTTCTTAGATTCACTAACAGAAAGTGCAATGTGTACATTTCAGGACCTATATTACCAGTCATATTCACAAGTGGGAGTGATGTTTGCTTCCATTCCAAATTTCAACGATTTTTACATTGAACTGGATGGCAATAACATGGGAGTGGAGTGTTTACGTCTGTTAAATGAAATTATTGCAGATTTTGATGAGGTAAGGGCTAAGTCTTTGGTCATTCTATCATTTTAAGAATACCTTTGTAAAGTCATCATGAGTCATCATATACCAATCTATCCTTAAAAATACTCCCATGGTTTACAGATCCTTCCAACTGAGTTAGCATCAGTGGGTTAACCAGGCAGTAAGTTAGATTTTTTCCCTCTCTCTATACAAAGACTGGAATTACTCATCATTAAGCAAGGAATTAGCTATATGGTCCTGGTTTCTGACATAGTAGAACAATTCCCCTAACTGAGGGCTAGTTCTTCTAGCCAAGCCTATTCTGTGATTCCATAATTGACCATATCAGCAAAAGAATCAAGCTAGCTTGTAAACAGCATTTTAGCCTACTGCTATTTTGGATTCTAAATTGTGCTGGATGTTGACTGTGCTCTTGACCCCTGCCCAAAGACTCTCTATCTCTTGCTTCTGATTCATTCATTCCCAGAGCCGCAAAAACATTGATCTGATAATGAATATATCAGGATATATTTGAGATCAAAGGACAGACATTCTCACTGGCGGTGCTAAATTGTTTTCATATTACTACCATTCTGCCTGCTCCATGTTACTTTTTAGAAATAGGTAAGGCAAAGATAGGTAAGATTAACTGTGCAATAATAGTTTTCCACAGTCAGTTTACTAAGCTTTTAAGTCAGTTTACATTCCTTTTGCAAACAATATCAGGCCAAAACAGGATACCTTGAAAATGATCAAGGACCTCATATTGTCCTTAGGAAATTTGACATAGGTATGAGGTAGAAAGAAGAACTGAACAAGAGAAGAGTAGTAAGCATACATATAACTGTTCTTTCTTGTCTAAAATATTATGTAACATTTAACAGTTTTATGTTTTAAAAAGCTTATGGACAAAGAATATTATAAAGACATAGAAAAAATCAAGACAATCGGCAGCACATATATGGCAGCAGTGGGACTTGTACCAACTACAGGCACCAAGGTAATATGTATTCCATATTTACTGTCCTCCCTGGGTGTTTTTATAAATAATGTTACGAATGCCATTAAACTTATAAACTGTAATAAAATACACATTGATTAAAGGTAACACTGGGCCAATATTTCCAGTCCAGATTTCTTCAGCAATTGTGAGAACAGGGCAAGGGGAGAGAAAATGCCTCTGAAAACTAGAGGAGCAACCAAGTTTTCCAACATTTGCATGTGTGCGCCTTGTCTCGGTTAGCTTTACTGAGTTTCCTGGAATGTCAGTGGAAATCACTCTTTCCTCTCATGGGTTCAACAAAGCCTGGTTGGCCCCAAAAGGCTATATGGGGCTGCAGTGCTCTTTTTAACTAGAAACGGGTGGGTGAGATGTGGTGGGGCTATTATTTGTTTAGGGTTGCAGAAATGTGGCACTGTGGGGGAACTTCACTATTTTAATGAGGTAACTAAAGTAAAGCAAACTCATACACCCCCAAAATGTGAATATTTCACCACCCCAAAGCAATCAAAGATCTCCCCCTTCCAGAATGGACATATGGATGCCTCAGAAACATGAGATTTTTCAGCCTGTGTTTGTTAGAATGTCCATTCAGTCTTGGGATAGCTACCTTTAACTTTCTATATCACAGGAATGTAAGAATTGTCTTGCTATGCATTCTGCCTCTAGCCTCAGCCAGCCAGGTCCTATGGGAAGTATAGTTAGGACATGAAGATGACATGAAGATGAAACCTTCTCCTTTTTACCTCTGATACGGATGCACATTGTTTCCATAGATCCCACTCAAAAGTAGAGCAGTAGATACTGAAAAGTAGAGCAGTATGTATCATTTCTGCAAATGCCTTATTTTTTGTATTGTATTTGTGCTAGAAAACTTGGCTGCAGTCTGTGCTAGAATCACTTTCTCTAGAAGCACTGAAATAAAGCTTTTCCTATGGGGTAGATACTGTGTTTAAAGTGAGAGTAAAGTGATTTCTGTAAACATACTGATAAAGATCACTTTTACACTAATGGATTACTTGGAATTAAGTGGAATGATAATGAAGTCTTCTGTAAATGTAGGCAGAGTCCTCAGTGACAGCACCTTGAGTTTCTTTATGGCTCAGGGCAGGGAATTACCACATCTTGAAGACTCATCATAGATAAAACACATGCTCTTGCTGCATGAGAGACTGGAGTGGCATAAACCTCCATTTTCACTTAACATTCCTCAAATTCCTGCACTTTGTCATGTCCCAGAAAGATGGAAAATATCATTCATTGTGTTTCAAACTTTAGGCTGTTTCACACATTTCACAAAAGCAAATTTGGATCAATAAGAGAGCTGCAGTCAATTTCAACTCTCTTATTAATGTACATTCTGTATATCTGAGTGCATACTTCAAAAAACTAATTGTTGGCATGTGCTTAAAAAATGAAGATCCTCTAGGGACCATTTCAGGAGCATTATCAGAAAGAAGATTTTTTTCTGAATTATTCTGAAAGAAGAAAGTGGAAATAAACATGGCTTTGAATCCTCCTTTATTGGGTTATGTTGTGTTCACCAACCTGCAACTGCAAGGCATTCTGTTTTACCATCACTTTTGTCTGTCTCAGGGTACCTCCAGATGAATTTGATGCATAGATTAGATTTATCAAGTAGATCTATGCTAGACCTGTTCCAGTTCAGGAAGCTGCTCCCAGATTCTACTACTAGATCTTCCCTCAGAACTGGACATCTTGTATGGAGGACAGGAGTTGCTGTCAGACATGCTTTAAGGGCAACAGCCTGGACTAATGGCTGATGTTCAGAAAGACTCAGCTCAACCTCTTTCACCTTGAATATTTGATAGGACTCTTCTTGAAGTAGGCCCAACCCTTCACATAGCAGCCAGACAAAGGAAATACATTCATTCTTCTCGTACTGTGATACCATCTGTGATGTACAGGTCAATAGGTATAACTTTCATAGGCTAAATCATACAATCATTGGCACATAGCTAGGTCCGAGAAAAACCCTCTTTTCTAGAAATCAGCATGTGTGCATCCTTGAAATGTAACTGAACTTAACCAGGCACCATTCCAGAAAGAGCCAATTGACTCTTGACAGATAATAGAAGTACAAATAAAGGGTACCAACCCACTCCATCCTCCTCCCCTCCTTCAAAGCATCATCTTTCTACTTTCATATACTGGCAGGAAAGATCATGCCAATGTAACTTTTTTCTTCTGTAACCTATTCAAAGTGTTAACTGTGTTCCATGCAACCCCTTACTGATCAGTGGATAAAAGGGCCAACTGAGGACAGCTTGGGTGCACCATCTGGACTGATTCATTGACAACTGGTTAGTCTCAGGAATACATCTTTTAAAAGAAAACCTTCCCCTGTTGTGCATTTTGGCATACACGCACCAGGACATGGACCATTTGGTCAACATCTGGGTCTAGTGAAAGCCTTTACCAAGGCATCTTAAGCCTCCTAAAAATTCCTTTTCCCTGCTACATTTGAGGATGTGAGGTTTCTGAATTACTAGGACATGTTTTTGGAATGGCACTGATAATAATGAAGCTATGATTCTTCCAGATTTTTATTTCCACAATTTGTGTTGTAAGTAATTGAGGAATGAATCAGGGAGCAAGGAAGCCATTCATTACATTATGCCATGTTGTCTGTGTGGGGTGGGTGGGTCATACAAAATGGAGGAAAATAAGAGAAGGGAAGAGTGATTTCACCTCAGAGGACACACATGCTCTGAACCCAATTTCCACCTGCAGGAAAGGTAGCTCTCCCTTTCCAGATCCCAGCTGGCTTCTATTTTGTAGAGGCACTTGAGGAATAGTTGATTTGCAATTGTGGAAGAAGGCTGAACTGAGGACAAAAGCAGATGAAATAGAATATGGTTCATGAACTGTTTAAGTATTGATCTCATTCAGTGAAGACAAGAAACACAATTCTAGTAATGTGACATCTAAACTAGCTATTATAAGCTTCCATTTAGAATTTTAAGATTTGATCATTAGAAACTTTCCATGTTCCTTTTAAATGATGCAGATGCCATATATAGAGAGGAAGGGGGAATATATAACGTATGAATAATGTTTCATTAGTAAAATAATTGTTGACAAATTCCTACTCTGAATGAATGCTACAGTTTGTATCTCTGTCTTCTTGGGCAAACAAGTAAGGGAGGGGTTGTTCTGCTGTGTCTGGGATAAATGCTCTTTGAACTACAATCCAATAAACAACTTACTATTGGGTAACTCTGGCCAAATAACTTTTCAAAAACTACATTTGTCCTGTCTGGGAATTTTATATTTGCAAGCAGAAGAGGCTATCCAAATATAACTCAGTAGTGGCAGTACTTCCTCAGATGTTTTAGTAGCCGTCATTTTAAAATATTCTTGCAAATTTTTCATGGATACTCACTGATGTTGTAAGAACAAAGATTCCATCTCTTTTACGTGATGCCCTATTTTCAAACACTCTTTCACCAGGCCTCCCCATCCTCCTGAAAGTAGATTCACAGGCAAGCACATTTGGAATGCTCTGTACAGTAATTCTGGTAGTCACATCTCAAAAAACCATAGCATAGATCTGGAAAAGGTGCAGAAAAGGGAGGCCAAAATTATCAGAGGATTAGAGTACTTTCCCTACAAAGAAATGCTGATGTGTTTACAGCTCATTAGTTTCATGCTGGGAAGGGATGACAAAGAGAATGCTAGAAGCTTATAAAATCACAAATAACATGGAAAGAGTTGATAGAATTTCCTCCCTTCTCTCATACCTGAACTTTAATTCAGCATAGATTCAGGAGAGACAAAAATAGTACTTTTCCACACAATGCATATTTAGTTTATGATTTCACTCCTCAAGACTGGTCATAGGTGGAAATTCATGGACCTTATATCTATCAGTGGCTAGAAGGAGCTTCCATTTTTAGAGGAAATATGCCACTGAATACAAGGTACTGGGGAGCATTAGTATATGAGAGGTCTGATGCCCTCTGTTCTTGCATGTGGGTTTTCCAGAGTCATCTGGCTATTAACTATTAGAAACAGGGTGTTGGGCAAGGCTAATCTTATGCTATCTGTACAAGCTTGCTCAGTCCTCTTGAACCTTCTGGAGGGATCCTGTTCTGAGTGCCTGTACACCCCCTTCAAATACAACAGCTGGGATGGTTAATAGTATGGCTTTGTAAAATGAGGCCTGCTGGATCAGACCAACGGTCCATCTAGTTCACCATCCTCCTTCGCACAGTAGTGAAATGGATGACTTTGAGAAGCCCACAGGCAGGGCATAAAGAGAGTAGTAATAATCTTTTCTTGTCATCACCCCTCCCCCAGCTATTTAGTAGCTTGCTGCCTCTGAACATGGAAGCTGTATTTAGCTGTCATGACTAATAATTAATGAAAGGCCAATCCTCCATGTCTTTTTCTAAAACCTTTTAAAAGACATACCTGTAGCCAGCCTCTGCAGGGATCCTGGTCCACCACCAAAAAAAAGCCTTCTAACCTTCTGTAAGTATTCAGTTGTGGGTTATTTTTACATATAGGTGGGTTCTTCAAATATTTTTAAAGCTTAATATTAACTGTGTTTAGCATTTATCTCAATTTTTAAATGTTTAACTTAATATTTTAGTGTGTTGGTAGTCATCTTGCATTCTGTTGAAAGAAAAATAGGATGGATGGATAGATGGATAACATAAAATATTATTTTTTAAATGTAGGCAAAGAAATCAATTTATTCCCATCTCAGTACACTGGCTGATTTTGCAATAGAAATGTTTGATGTTCTTGACGAAATCAACTATCAGTCTTACAATGACTTTGTTCTTCGGGTTGGTAAGTCACATTTTCAAGAATTAGTTCTATATGGTTAGCATTGCCAAGGTTGCTGCCACCATTCCTGATACAGCTTTATAAATAGACAAGAGTGTGTGGCTTAACTATGATAAAATAGTCAAGAGTTTTGGGCACCATTTAAACAAATTTTAACTATATGTCTAGCAAACTATTGCTAATTTAATTGCAATCAAAGTATGTAGAAACAAGGGAGGCAGATTAGAACAAAATGGCTATTGCAATAATTCAGATTCCAGATTTCCTCACATTGCTGGGACAAGAATTCAGAGCTAGGAGGAAGCCTAAAAGCAGAAAAAAGGGGGCACCCTCTATATTCTACCTTGTGCTCACAGGTAGAAGTAATGCAGACAGAAGGACAGAACAAACACAACACAGGATCTAGATAGAAACAGGCTACCTCCATGGAGACAACATACGGCATTCTGACAAAAACATTGTTTCTCGCAACCCATGTGGTATCAGAATGCATGGCCCAGCTTGCCAGCTGTATCATTTTAAGAAGGTAAGAGATATTTTGCCATTTCTGTGACTGTCATCCATCCACTTAGGGGAATAGTAATGATGCTGTCACCTAAGACGGCCTTGTCTGTGTTTATATCCTCAAGCCCCTTAAGAGGAATTCTCTCTGTATGAGGAACAAGAAGCCCACGTCCGATTCCTCTCAAGGATTTTGCTTAATGTTGTACTACTAATTATAGGATGCTTAAGACAGTTGTGAAAAAAGGTAGTAAAAAGTGCATGTTGTGCATGCAGTAGGTCTCAGGTTCAATCCAGTATCTCCAGGTAGTACTAAGAAAGACTCTTCTCTTAAACCCAGGAAAGCTGCTGCCATTCAGTATTGACATTACTGGGCTGGATGGGCCAGTGGCATAAGACAGTTCCATATGTTTCTGAGAGAGCAGGCATATGCACTGAATAAGGTAGGCATTTGTAAGGTAAAAGCCCCAGAATCACAATAGCAAATTATTGAAGAGAATATTCCTTCTCAACCCTTCTGGCTGATGGTTATCTCAGGGAGCATAGGAGCCTGCAACAATAGCTTGTCAACCTGGATGCTACAGAGAAGGTTGGCACAGTTGGGTAGGCCAAAATGCAGTATCTTGAGGGCCGATGGAGAGCTTGCCTTTATATCCCTAACATGCACTCCAGAGGGAAGAAATTCTCTCTCGGGCATATCTGATTGAACTCATTCCCTTCCCTCTCAACCACTTTCTGATATACTTCAAGAGGAGAGGAGAGGCCAGCTTGCACTGCATTAGGTAGCCACCTCTTGTTACAGTGGCTAGACATGAAGCATGCCCCTCGTCCTAAACCTATTCCTTTAACACAGATCCAAAAGAGGATCCAAAAGAGGAGGCAGGATACTGATTTTTTTAGTTACTAGGTGATGAACAGGCACTAGTCATGCCTGTTATTCAGAGATCATTTGCTTTGGCAGTGTGTTACCAGAATGTCACAAAGGATGTCTGCAAGATACCTTTTTCATTTGTGTTAGAAAGGCAACGTATCACATCCTCCTGAATCCTCTCCTTTACCTATATGTTCATCATAGGAATGCTATGTTGGTGAAAGCTCCACTGGTCATTCTCCGATGTCAGTATTTTAGTGTTGAAAGTAACCATTTCAGTGAGGTGGAAATTGCCATTCCCTCCAAAAAAAAAAGTAATTTAGATTATATATTCACCTTACTTGAATCAGTTTTGTTCCCTCCCTTGCTACAGCCACTCTGTTGTATTAGTCACATGAACATTCCCAGCCAGCAAGGGATAACTAACATGGCAAACAGAGCAACATCACAAAACAATATAGTTAGTGGGATTTAGCTCTCTGATGATGTCTTTGAAGGCAACTGAGAATCAGAATAAATGTATGTATGTATTTATGTCAAAGAATGTTGAAAAAGGAAAAGCATCTGTGGGAACTGTTGAACATGTTTTCAAAAAGCTGAATAATTTCATTTCAGCACTACTAAAGATAAATAGCTTTGATTTCTTTTCACCCTTTCTTGTGTACAGTGAAAGGCTGTCAAAAGTAATGATATAATTGTGTGGTTATTTTCATACATTGTCAATTCAATCAATTTTTGCTATGTTGTTGCAGATCTGCTGAAAATGGATTGAGGGTGGCATAAGTGGTGTGACATGTATTTATTAGCTCTCATATGTTCAAATAATCATACGGGATTCACAGAGAGCAGTTGTCAAAATGATTGTTTGGTTGTATGAATGTCAGCTTTCATGTCCAGAAATGTAATATATCAAGGGATGTGTCTGTCCCAAAATCTGCTCTTGACAGTATGGCTCTGACCAAGTCCTGGAAGATCTGAAGTAATTGCAAAAGAAGTACCTCTGAGTATGTCCCATTTGCTTTGCCCTCACCACCAAGGAGCCATTGTCTGCTCCATATTAACTTATGATTAAAAGTAGCAGCTGTTTCAGAGCAGTTAGAACTTCTCAATTTGGTACTACTAGAAGCAAGAAAGTGGTTCGGAAACCAGGATCTTTATCGCATTCAGATATGAAATGTCCATATTCAAATTCCTGCTTCAGTGAAGTAACTTATTAGGTGGTCTGCCCTAATGAAGGTGTTGTTGTAAGGATTAGAAAAAGCAAAAATGGGGTCAGGGGAGCAGGTTGACACATCACATCAGCTCACTCTGGCTATAAACAAAGGTGGATTGGTTGCTACAAGAACAACCTATGATTCCCAAAGCAAACAATCAGACACTTTGTGGGTTGTTCTTTCTTCTTTTTCCTTAGTGCTCTAGCTCGGTCCACAGATTAGCACCAGTCTGCCAGCATTTTCTGGCAGTCTGTGAAAGAGCCACTGCCGTGCACATGCACAACAGCAGCATCTGGCTTGCCAGGACCAACACAGGGCTAGCTGTGCTCTCGCTGCTGATCCCCCATCTCTTCCTTGATCGAGGAGGCTGGGGAGGGGAGAGGCAGCTCAGTGGGAGCCAAGTCAGGAGGAGCTGTGCCGCCCCTGCCTTTTCCTTTCTCTGCTGTGTTTTCTACCAGGAAGAGGAATGCAGAGGAGAGATTGTGCTGAGAGAGTTTTCTCAGCCAGTCTGTGCTGTTGTGTATGGAGGTTTGAGTGGGTGGAGTTTGCTGTATTTTATTATTTAACATTATGAATATTATTGCATTAAGTAACTTCATTTAATTTTGTATTGTTCTGCTGTTG